GGACTTTCTGGAGGTTAGCTGTGCCTCCTAGCCTGTCGCTAACGCTATCTGTAGCAGTGTAACATGTCTCTGAAGTCAGACTAACAAAGCAGCTACAGATTCAACTGAAAAGAGTCTGAAAAACAATAAGTAAAGCTCTAAGATCTGGACCTTAGTGGGAAATAAAAGAGACAGAACAGAGAAAGAAACAGAAGAACAGCTGTGACGGCCCCACCTAGTCGGTTGGTTGGGCACATTGGCTGTCTGTGTTTGGCTGTTTGGCTATTTCCTCAGGTCCCTAGATTGCTGGAGACTGAGTGGGCGGTCCTACCTAATTGGCGCGCTCGGGCCCAGCGCTCCCAGGTATAAAAGGGCCAACCCCTCAGCTCCTGCTCTCTCTCTCTCCCCTCATGCCCGTGATTTGTGGTCTTTTTGGTTTGGATCTCGCATCTGACAACACCTTGCACCACATCACACCCAGGCATCCAGACATCTGCACCCACACTACTGACATTACTGACATACACACCTCACTTTGAATAAATTAATTTAACAAATTAATAAAACTTTACGTTCAAATCTGACAACACCTGTGTCGTCTCCCCTCTTTTGCCACAACCTATTTGCTGGGTTGTGACACAGCGGACAGACCTGCAGGAGACAAACTGATCAATATTCATCAATTGATCGATCAGTAAACAGAGAAGAATGTCCTTTCTTTCTTTCTTTCTTTCTTTCTTTCTCTATTTGGACGGGACATATTAATGAACATACAATCTGAATAGTTTACACAAGGTTACAGTAAATACGCCGGATTTAGCACAAGGCTAATTTTCATCCGTTGTCCCACACACAAAGGAAAAACACACAGGATACGGACATATGAAATAAACAACAACAACAACAGCAACAACAGTAAAACAATGATGATACGTTAATTCTGCCTGGGTTCAAGCAACCCAAAGGTGCCTGGTTTTCTCAGTGTTCACACATTTGACTGTTTATCAGCCATGTCTTATACTGTCTCTTAAAACTGACAAAGGTGGAGCTTTCTCTGACAGCTGTAGGTAAAATTTTCTAGTTTGTGCAACCTTTAATAGATGCTACATGCTGTGCAATGGAGGACTTTCTAAATTTTACTTGACAGTCGCCCCTGGTGGCTGACCTTGTAGAGTAGTCCCCGGGCGGTGGGGCCCTCCCATTCACAGACGTATAGATGCTTCTGTTTCTGTTGTACACCTTCAGTTATGTTGCTCCTTATTAATGAGGCAGGCTAGCTACGAATGTCACATGCTGTTAATATATAAAATTTATTTTGTTGGTTCCAGATATTGGTCATCAGTCTTTCCTGATTACCAATAATCTGTGTCGGCTGTAAAAACCGTATCGCTGGATCCTGAGGGTGTGGAACTCTGAGTGTCTCTGTAATCCTTCAGATTAGACCGCAGTTAATCTGCCAGCTGGATGCGGATCTGAAGGGAAATAATCCTGATCAGACATCAGCATCCTCGTACGAAACCAGCAGCAGCTTTGACCTGAACACAGAAACTCACCTGGGTCATGTGACCATCACACAGGTGTCGAGTCATTTAGTTTCACACTCATCAGGAAGGACTACATTACCCATGAGCCTCGGTGTTATTCCTGAGTCATCCAGAACTGACCCAGAATCAGAATTAATCAGAATGAATTTAATCTGCTGTTTTAATCTGCAGCTTCAGAGCAGCAACAGAATGTGAATCATGTGATAAATGATTTCAGCTGGTCGGAGTCCAACTGCAGAGAGAAACGAGTCTGAGCTCCGCTTCACTCATTCATCACAGGTTCACAGCATCAGGACTACAGAACCACACGGAGACACCAACAACAAAATCAGTCCTCTGGGTTGTCTTTGAGCAGCAGCAGTGCCAGGAGAGCAACGACATGAAACAAGTCAGTTATAAAAGCTGAAGGTCTGAGAGCAGAACCAGTCCATGAGGTTGTTGATGCTGCAGGTGGAGGTTGTCTGGCTGTTCCTGAAGGACTCTCAGAAGGTGGAGAACATTGTGGACCATGTTGTTGGACATCCAGAGAACTGTGAGAAGGCTGCAACATGTTCAGTGCAGCTTCTGGAGGCAGAAGGACCAGTTGTCCAAAACAACCCACAGCTGGCCACAATAACTGATCCTGTCCAAAATGAAGACAAAATATTTCCAAACTCTCTTCATAGTCGTCCCAACGGCCTCACGGTTCCTCCAAAACGACTTCAATGTCCAGAATTACAGAGCCTGTCCTAAACAACTTAAAAGTGGTCCAAAGCACTGAACGTACGCTGGAACGTGTCCAGAAAAACTCCAAGTTGGTCAACACTTTCACAAAATGATTTAAAGATGTCAAACATGGTCGAGAACTTGTCCAAAATCTCTTGAATTCCCATCTCTCAGGGCGGCTGTGGCTCAGGTGTACAGCAGGTTGTCCATTGATCGTTTGGGCTTCGATCCCCTCTGATCAACACACTGAGCCCCAAGTTGCTCCTGATGGCAGCAGCGTTCTGCACAGCAACTCAGTGGATGTGTGAATGAGAAGCATTGCAACGGCAGAAAGGTTCTAGAAGAGCAGACCGTCACCTGACCACGGAGTTATTTATCAGAATGGAGGCTCTTGTTGTGAAATATGTCTGAAATAAACCTGAAGGATCCATCAACATGAAGCGACTCTCAGAGGTGCAGCTTCCAACATCACATGCAGTAAACCAGAGACGCTTTGTGGAGCATCTTCAGCTTCTGGGAGGTTTCACTTGACACCTGTTGGACATCTCCACCAATGAAATGCAGATATGTTCTTTGGTGTCTCTGGGCTCAAACCAACATTGATCCTCCGTAGGGATGAAGGAACGTTTTCCATCTTGGTCTCCAACCAACGGGTCTGATCCTCAGTGTTCCAGGTCAGTTTAATCTTCTTCAGGAGAACCTGGACCTGTTCTAGGTTCCTGGAGCCTTTTCACCTTTATCCAAGAAGCTCTTTCAGTTCAGACTGACTGCTGTTTCTTCTAAGCCCCAAATTACAACCAAAGGCTCACCTGCCTGGAGGGCTTCATGTGGTGACACCACCTGGGGAGGAAGCTCTGGACGGAGCTACAAGAACCGGATCAGTGGTGTTAGAACCTCCTCTGTTGAGCTCCTGCTCCAGTTTCCTGAACTGCTCGAACCATCTGTGGTCCATCGGAGGCCAGAGCAGACATGTTGTGCGTCTCCTGCTGCTCTCTTTGTAGTTGTTCTATGTCCTAATATTGAAACTCGTCACGTAAATGAGTCTTTGAGGTTTTTATTTTCAGGCTAATTCGTAACTTTAACCTTCTTTCTTGACTGGAAGCAATTCGGCTCGACGCCTGTTGTTTTGACTCGATCAGTGTCTGTGTTTTTAGCGCCACCAACAGGACTGGACTACAAACTGTTCTGATGTTGAGACAGTTTTTCATTTCAAGCCAGAGAAAGCTGCTGGATGTGAAACCAGGAGGATGAAGAGGAGGATGAAGAGGAGGAGCAGCAGGGAAACACTGAGGTCATGTGACTGGTGTTTTCCTCTCAGTCGGACTGAGCAGCAGCAGCAGCAGAGACATGAAGCTGCTCACAGACGGAGACCTATGAGGAGAGCAGAACTAGAACTAGAACTAGAACCAGGACCAGGACCAGGACCAGAGCCAGGACCGGGACCAGAGCCAGGACTGGGACCAGGACCAGGACCAGGACCAGGACCAGGACCAGATGGAGCAGAGCAACCCCACACACAGCTCCAGACAGATGGTGAAGTCTGGTAAGATCTGATCCTGGACCTGCTGAAGCGTCTCACTCTCGGTTCGGTTCGGTTCGGTTTAGTTTGTTGTTCTGCTGTTTTATTCTGATTCATCACTGAAGCTCTGTCCTGAGACACCCGACCGTTTACTGACCGTCTGCAGTAAAGTTGCTGCAGCTGTAAAAAAAACAGTAAAAACCAGAAAATCTCATAGAAGTGTTTTTCTGTAATTCTAAAGCTGCTTCAGCTTCGATTCAACATGAGATCAACTCGTTTTTAGCTGTTTTCAACATTCACTGGAGAATAAAACCTTCTTTTAATCTATAATTTATGTTGTGAAAACTTCTTTCTGGTTGTTTTGACGTCAGAGTCTTTTTGCTAAAACCAAACAAATGTGACGAGTATGAACAAGAGACGTTTCAGGAGTTCTTCTCCAGGCTGAGCTCCTGCTGCTCCTCCTGGTGGATCCATCTGGGTCAGGGTGAGACGCTGAGGACACACGACGTCCTGCAGCGATCTGCATCACGTTCATGTGAACCCACAAATAAAACACAAATATTTCACTTGTTTGATGAAACACAACTTGTTGCATCAGTGCAGAAACAGAACTGAACTAAACACTCTGAGGAGTCGGACTGGTTCAGATATGATCCGATAGTTAAACGGGTTTTGTGCTGCGCAGCAGCGTTTAATGTTGGACTTGGTCCTCTTCAGCTCAGTGTTTGGCACCAGATTAACACGATTTCTGTACAACACATCCAGACAGGACTGGGCCGCGTCCAGCTGTAGGGTTCTGGTTCTGACATAACCACTCAGCTGTCAGAGTCGATACAGTTCTGGTCCTGCTTTGGTTCTGTCCCTGTTCTGTACAAATCCTAATGAAACTTGTGTAAAACAGATCTCAATCTGGAGCTGAACCGGGTCACCTCTGCTTGGACCAGGTCTCTGGATCAGACCGAGGTTTGACACCGGTGGTTTAGGTTCTGGTTCTGGTTGGTTAAAGCTGATCATGTGAGTTGAGGCTGAACATGAGTCAAACTTTGACCTCAGACTGTTTGAACAGTTATCACATCACAGCGGTCACAAAACCAACATCAGAACCAAAGTCCAAACGCAGAGTTTATTCATCCAGAAGCTCGAGACCAAAAACCAGACAGAACCTTTACATCAGCATAGATTTCAGGTTCAGAAGCTGATTCTGGTTCTGTATCTGCAGCACCTTCATCTACTGACCAGAGTTCTACCTTCAGACTGTGAATGTTCCAGAGTTCCACAGAGGAGGGTCCAGATTGATCACTGAGCCTCGGAACTTCATCAGTACAGCAGACAGACACATGACATTTAGGAGGAAAAAAACGTCTGGGTTCTGGTAGAACCTGACACCAGATCAGTTCTACATCCATCCAGGTGTCTCAGTCTGAACACTGGACCTGGTTCTGTTCATGTCCTCTGTCAGCAGCTGGTAGCATCAGTGTTATGGGATGTCTCATAGTGGTACCAGTTTAATGTCTATGACACAGAGTCACAGAAACATCATTGGTTCCCTGGATGTGGTTCTGGTTCTGATCATTCACCAGAGGAAACTTTACAAAGTGCTTTCTGAGTAAACTTTCCAGGCTCATATCAACATGTGTGATGGTGGTTGGTCAGAACCGGTTCTAGACAATGGAAGGCCCGTTTACCTCCATTGTTTTGAACATGAACTGATCCAGGAGCCAGACTTTGAACAGAACCGAGGCTCTGAGGGGTTCTGCTCTCTGCAGCAGCAGCTTGATCTGATGAAGGAAAAGAGGCGGTCGTCTGACATGACTGTGAAACTCGACCGTGGTTCTTCTGGGTCGAGTTCTTCAGAACAGCATCCCTGTAACCAGATAACTGCACTCAGAGAGTCGATAAACGGCAGACTGAGCGTCCGGCTCTGATCAATATGAAACCTCAGAACAACTTCCTGTGATCACTGTTATATTATTATAACGTCTTTATTAAACCTCTGCAGCCATCAAGGTTCTGACTGGAGCTGGACGGATCCACTGATCAGGGAGGTCCGTCTGGTTCCTGGTTCTCTGTCAGTCAGACCCCTACAGCTCGTCAAGAATGAATTCTTCCAGCGTGATTCTGTGGATAAAGTGTGAACTCTGTGATGAGGTGAAACTCTGAAAAACACCGGTTCTTATCTCTGGACTCAGTCAGAACTTTGTGCTGCTGATTGAAATTATCAAACTGATAAACTGCAGTCAGAGAAACTGATTGATGGAACAAACATCTGACGAGAGCTGCAGCTTCATGGACAACACCATGCTCAGGATCGAGATCGTTTGTTCACCGCCAGGTGTTCTGCTGCAGCTGTTTCACTGAAGTTGTGTTTTCTGATTTTGGATTCTGTTCATGTGGCCTCCGTGGTCCCAAACAGACCCACTGATTATGAGGCTGCAGCTCAGTTCACTGATCAATGAAAACCCTATCCCCTCCCTACAGCCTGCTGCTGGCATCAGCACCCTGTCACACTGAACCTGTTCTATGGTTCTGATCCAGACTGGTTTCTCCTGACCAGATCCTTGCTGGTGTTGGATCTGCTCTCAGATGGACGTCGCTCTGGATAAAAGCGTCTGCTGATGAAACTGTAGAATTCTAGAATATTTGTTCCTGGAACACACGGTCTGGAACTGTCCAGGTGTGTTCAGCAGGTAGAACCCTGAAACCCTGAACTCGATGAAGTTCGTTCAGTTACGTCAACTTACAATCAGCTAAGTTTAAATCACACACAGCATTAAGTTGATGCAACATTTTTATATCAACTTTTAGAATAATGTTTGCAGCTGAAAAGGTTTATTTAAACCAGAACATGAGGTTTTTATGAATCCTGAGACTGTGGATGTCATGAAGATTCTTTCAGAGTGTCTGGACCAACGGCACCAGATTCCTGCCGCTGCTTCAACATCAGCTCTTTCATTTTTCTGAAATGTGAAGCAGCAGCGTCTCTGGTTACTCTGAGAAAAGGCTCTTTGTGTGAAGGAACTGTATGACATCTGATCTCTGTCTCCCAGAATATCTGAGGACTCGGATCAGATGAACGTTAATCTGCTCAGACAAATGCTAGACGTGAAAACAGGCTTCGGCTGCTCGGCAGCAAATAAGTAACTGTTCAGAAGTGAACTTTAGAACCTCAGAACGTTTTGGAAAACATGTTCAGGACGTTGCATCGGGACGTCTCAGGTCCTGCACATCTGACTTTAACGTTCTGTCCGTTTGCAGCTTCAGCATTTGCGGACCTGCAGCAGCACCGACCTGACGGCGTCCACCGGAAACCGTCTCCTGTCTCCGGCTTCGTCCCGCCGCCCGATTACCTGGACGGACACGAAGACGACGACCTCATCAAACCCAAGAAACTGGTGAATCCCGTCAAAGCCTCCAAGAGCCACCAGGAGCTTCACCGAGAGCTGCTGAGCTGCAAACGGTATCAGAACCAGCCCAGAACACAGAACCTGATCCCACAGGAACAGGTTCACAGAACACACAAAGCAAATCAGGTTCAGACCAAAGACACAAACAGACAGAAGCGTCCATTCAGATGAGCATCAATCAAGGACGTGACAACAAACACAACCAGAGACACACAAAAGTGACACAAAGAGACACACAACAGCAGAAGCGAAACAAAACAGGATCACAGAACTCCATCATGTCACG